TATTCCTTCCCTAATTTATAATGTAAGAGACTTTTCCTTGGGTTTGGAAAGATAGTATAGAGGTTCTAGGCTCAATCTTTGCAAATTGCTAATTCCAGATCAACCCCCTATATCAAACATTCCCCTTAGGTGAAACCTTAGAAGTCCCCCAAGCACCTCTGGTGTGGCCTGGGTAACCCCTAGCACCACAGGACTCAAGCAGCACTGCATCCTGTGGCCTCTGCTGAACTGAAAGCTTATTTCGCAGAGAATTGCCCATGGGACCCCCAGGCTTTCTGAGTGACACGTGGGAGGCCCCTCCATTAAAAGAAATATCTCTCTTCTTTCCCCTTGAATAAAACAATAAACTAGGGAATTTTAAAATCTATTATATAATTTTAACAGGTGCTAAGATCCATCAACTTTTCTGTGCTAACAATTTACCTTTGAAGAGTGACCCTTATTCTAGGAGAAAAGGAAAGATAGCACAGCAGTTACAGTGTCTGCCTTCCACACATCCGACCTGAGATCCCCAGAACTTATATGGTTCCTCCCAACTCGACTGGGAGTGATCTCTGCACGAAAAGTACAGACATGTATGGTCCAAAAACAACACACACACACACACGCACACACACGAGAGAGAGAGAGAGAGAGAGAGAGAGAGAGAGAGAGAGAGAGAGAGAACCCTTTATTGTAGCGCCATACTTCAAGCAATTGTTTAAGTTCAACTTTAAAGAAGCTAGTTTATTTTTTTGCTTGTTGGGGGTGGTGGGGCACACCTAATGGTGCCCAGGACTTACTCCTCCTGGCTCTGTGCTTAGGGTTCATTCCTGGCAGTGCTCAGGGGACAATATTTGGTGCTCTGGATCAAAATGGTGTCAGATACCTGCGAGGCAAGTACCTTAAGGTCAGTATTATCTCTCCATCCCTCCAAAGAGGCTCTTTTTAAAGATACTGCCATTTTAGGGAAGGATTCAAAGTAAACTCACTACATATTTAGAGGTTAATAGATATAGGACAGAAATGTTTAATATAAAGATATGCTCCTTAGAAAAGGTCTCTTTTATGGCTTGATGATTTCAAAATTATCAGATTACTATAGAAGCAAATTCAACACTGAACATCAATAGAAAATTTAAAATTATAAGCAATATCCTAAATTCCTAGCTTTGTGACTTTTTAAATTTTTCTAGTTTCTAGTGTTCTAGTTTCACTCCTCTGAAAGCTTAATTTTATCCTTAATAAAGTGATATCACCATCACTATGGCTACATATAGTCTCCATATATATTCATCTCAATCACTTGATCACTTGACATCCCGTTACTCATCGATTTGCTCAAGCAGGCACCAGTAACCGTCTCCATTCATCCCTATAGCATGCTAGTGTAGCCCAATGGCATCTGCTCATTCTAGGAACACAAAGAGCTTCAAACCGTTGTTCAGGGTTTTGACGAAGGAGTCTGACCATCTAGTAGGTGGGCAGCCACGTGATCTTTTGATATCCCGTGGAATCCAGTCAGTAATGGTTGTAGTCCAGTGGTCGTCTCCAAATCTCATTACGTGTCCAGTCCATCTGATTTTCGACGCCTTGGCAAATGAGACAACGTTCCTGATTCTTGACCGTCAATGGAGGTCAGAACTCTGGATTCTCTCTCATTCATCTCAATATTATAATAAAAATTAAATATCTGAAGATCAAGTGGTAGTTTCTGATAAAGTTCAATTGAGTTAGCACAACTTTGCACTAACTAGACTGTGAGCTCCACATAGATGGACTTTTTTTCAATTTCTACATGCCACATGTACAGATCCAAGAACATGTCTGAACTTTTATAAAGTGAATGAATCTTTAACAAGAGACTATGACTTATTCTATATCTTCAGGTGTAGTAGTCAGGTACAATCAATATCAAATTATATTATGAGCCTACAAGAATGAAATGCCCTAACCTTTACAGTCAGTAGGATCTAGAAAACGCAATTATGCCTTGTCAACAGAAGAAATTACCTTTGAACCTTCACAAGAATACTTGAGGATAAAAAGGAAGTTTATCAGTGTCTTCTCCAGTACTCCAGAGTACTCAACTACCCTTAAGATGTGGGTCATACACACTAATAGATGGTAAACCTTGGGAAGCTTTAAAAAATATTTTCCTCCTTCTCCGAGAATCATAATCAATATATTCACTCATTGGGCATAATTGGCCGTTTTATGATTTTTATATCTATCTCATTCCATCTACCTCTGATATTCCCAAATATTATCTTGTCTTTCAATGCATTTCTAGTTAGTCTTCCAAACAGACAGAAAAGTTTCCACAGTTATAATTAAAAATTCCATCTTCCACCCCTTTTATAAGTGGTCCATTTCCCTACTTTCCCTTTTTAATAGACAGACAGTACTGAGACGCACCTTTGAAAAAAAAAGACCTGAAACCTAGAATTTATCTATCTCTTTTTCTATCAGAAATGATAATAGCAGCTAGTTTTCATTGAGAAATTATAAAGTGCCCAAGTACATCACATAGGTGATTTTACAAAACCAAGGACAATAAACCACTTGTTTCCCATTTTTCAGTTGAAAAAACTGACTTCCCAAGATCACATGTTGATAAAAGTATTAGAATCTCCTTGACTGTGTTTTCAAATGCTATGCCATATTTTCTGTCACATAATTACTGACAAAGTAATCAGATTTATTTTCTAAAACAGAACCCAAAGTTATTTCTTCCTTTCCTTTTAAACATAAAAAGTTCAATCCAGGATCTGACTGTGTTAAGCCAGTTAATTTTTTTTTAAAAAAATCTTTTTTCTTAACAAGTTTTAAAAAACCATATCTTGATCTTAGATTTACCACTATGTGGCTTCACACAGGTTATTCAAACTCCCTGTGCCTCAATTTATATCTTAAAGATACTTTGTTTAATATGACAGTTTTTAAGCACTATAAACAACAAAGCCATGAAAACAATTGGGAAAACTGAAAGCAAAATTGTACAAATAAATAAGTAGATGAATAATTCAGTATCCTTTTTAGCCTCTGGAGTCTCTTTTTCTTATAGTGTACAGTTAAAAAGATATTCTCCTTGTCAGTAAACTTTCATTTTCCACTTGGAATGCCAACTTTTGACTCTGCAAAAATGTCCAACAGACTAATTATTAGTAGACCTTCCTTCTTCGCCAAACTAGCATTTTCTCTGCTCCTTAAAGGTACAAAGTGTTTGCCAATCCAGTGCAGTGAAGTCACCCTCTTCTAAATTCCATTAATCTCCATGTAGTACTGAACCCTTTAACTGTTCCCACAAATGACAATCCATAAGCTACATCAAACAGACTTCATCCTACTTTCTAAGGACCTATCAAGGCCCCGCTCTCCCAATAAAAAGAGGATTTTTCCCTGTGTCTTAATTTTCCCTAAAACTCAATTCTTCAATTACTATATATAGTTCAGTTCTCTTTTACAGCAGTAATACTATTTTGATGTTTTTCATATCTTTTTCTCTGAGTCTCCACAGAATCCTAATTGATATTATAATCTATTAAACTTTGGGGAGATACACAAATCTTTTACTCTCATTTTTGTTTTTTGTTCGCAAAACAGCTTCACTTGGATTCACAAAGAAGTGTCTCCACTTTTAAGCTGGTAAGCTAACCAGACCGCTTTCCAGTTCCCCCTCTCAGACGCAGACTCAGGCCTTTTATTTAGATTCTTTTCCTCGAGGACGCTCCTGCATTCTCTGCTCCCTGTCTCCCGGCGCCTTCCCTACCCAAACCTGGCGTCCTGAGGAAAACTGGGCATGCTCAGTAGTCACAGCCGATTCCGAGACGCAAACTGGAATCTTTTATTTTTGGGGGGGAGTGGGGGGCTGGGGAAGGCGATTTTCAAGCCAACACAAGAGGTAAGGCCCTGAAAATACAGAGGCCCGGGGTATGTTCACTCCACTGTGAAGTGTCATTTGATTGAAAGATGTAATCAAATCATAAAAACGGGTCTTTTGCTTCTCTAGATTGCAAGGTGGGTCACCGATGAGTCGCAGAGAGCTGAAAGCAGCCCTTCTGTCCGGTTTGGTGCAGGGAGATTTCTGCTGTTCTGAGATGTGACAGCCTTGATGAATGACTGGAAGCTCGAGTTTGGCATCTTTGTTTGCCTCCAGAAAATACTGCGGGGGTTTTCCCCCCTTACCCTCTGACTGTAACAACTGTTCTAGACTGAGAAAGACATTGCCCGAAGATCTACAAAGTCTGTAAATCTGACAGAGAGATCGTAGAGCAATTAAACTACCAACAGAAGAATTAGATCTAGGATGATGACTTAAGATCCAGATGTTGTCTATTTCTAAAAGACAATTCAGAAACCTTTCAATTATGCATATCTAAATTATGTGTGTCCCCCCCCCAAAATGCATATCTTCTTTGTATGTGAACCATGATTTCCCGTTGAGAGACTGACAGAACACCACACACATACACACACCACACACACACAAACACACACACACACACACACACACACCACAAGCCTTCTGTTCTTTCCCCTGGTTTTTGCAGACTAAATCTCTAAAGCTGCAACAGCAGCAGATTCTCTTACCTCACTGCCCAGAGGATGAAGCATGGGAAGGAAATTTATCACGGATGAAATATGAGAAAAAGGGGGCTTCTTTGCAGGGGCTTGAGCCACCACTGCACAGCCTGAGAAACAGAGATAGGCAGTAACAGACAGGGAGAGAGACACACAGCTGCCCCTGCTGCTAAAACCTAGCCATCTCTTCAAACAGAAGCAAACATGAGACATTTCATCACGATAGTGCATCCATATTGAGAAGTGGGAAAAAATCATGTGCTTTGCGTTATGCATTTCAGTCACCCAAGATGGGAGGAGACCCCTGTCCATATGCCAGGGATGCTAATCAAAACCCCTAAAGTACACTGGTTGCACCTACCTAGCTAGCAGATCACTTGCCTGACAGGTTTTGCTGCAAACGGTTAATCTCTATGTGACAGCAGGTTGTCTCTTACCGTAGGCAGCAGCGGCTCCATTTGGGCTCCCTGGTCTTTAATCTCCATGTTTTGTAATGCCTCTGGAATAAGCACCTTTCTCTGCAGTGTCTTCGGTGTCTTACACTCAGCGCGGCACTCTCTCTGCTTAGTATTCGAATCAGGTAGCTCTGAAGCAGGAGGCAATTGCACACTCCAACTCACCAGAGTCACATGGCTCCTACTCACTCTGGCTGCTGGCCAGGTTTTGCACTGAATGTCTTGATTCCCTCGGCCAGTAAGAGAGATCTCCCAGGTCCTATATCACTGTTCACACCTGACTATTACTATAAAAAGACAGTTTGCAGTTCTGCAAGTCTGAAAGATCTTATGAATTTTACCTAAGATATTAACTAGTTCCAGGTGGACTCTAACCAGTCCAGCCAGATTTTGACTGTTTCTCAAATTTTCATATTCTGAGAAATTTACTTTATTCCCCAAACCCTGAAGGAGACATAATTTAGAAGAGATTATGTAAATAAGAAATGATGTTAATAGGATTTAATAAGTGTCCTGTTCTGAGTACCTGGGCTTTTTTTGTTTGTTTGTTTCAGCTGGTTTCTGTCACTGTTATTGTTGTTCCTTTTTGATTTAGATCTGGGGGGTGTGGAGTAGTACTGAGGATTAAACCTAGGATCTCAAACTTTCAAAGAAAGCACTCTCCTTCTGTGCTACACTCTTACCCTACCAGAGGTTTTAAAAAAGCAGAAAGATAGGGCAAAAAAGATAGCACAGCAGGTAGGGTGCTTGCCTTGCATGCTGCCAACCTAGGTTCAATCCCCAGCATCACATATGATCTCCTGAGAATCTCCAGGAGTGAGCAGTGATTAGTTACAGATGGCCCGTCCCTCTTTTGTTAAGACTATGCTAGGGCTATTATGGCCAGAGTCACTCTCTTTTCAAATTATTTTAGCACTATGATCACTCATCTCCAGGAGTGAGCTCTGAGCACAGAGCCAGAGCACTTCCGGATGCAGTCCCCTCCCCCCCAAAAAAAGAAGCAAAAGCAAATAAGAGCTCAAAATATTGAGGTCTCTTAGTAACACTGAACTATTTTTAAATTATCAGACATTTAGATCATTGCTGGCTGAGTAAGAATTAAGCAGGAAGATAAGTTCAGTATTTTAAGTATATGAAAATTAATAAGCTACACACTCCTTTCAACAAAATATATCTTTCTGTAATTCCCAATGAAAATAAGAAAGTATTTTGATAGTAGCAATGATCACAGTGCTAAATTAACTTGAAAAGATAGTGACTCTGGCCATAATAGACTTAGCATAGTCTTAACAAAAGAGGGATAGACAATCTGTAACTAATCTCTGCAAGAAATGGTGTCAGAGAAAATTTTTAGAGAAAAAGTAATTTGTCAGTCATGGTGGTTGTTGATGAGTATACTATTTCCTAGAATTGATTATGGATCTAAAACATCTTAAATAATGAGGTCTATATTTCACTAGACCCAAACTAAAAGTTATAAATGAAAGGGAGTGAAAAGTCACAGGTTAGAAGATTATTGAAAGCTATTAATATAGTTTACCTAAAATCATCACCAGATTTTAAAATCCTTTCATCAACAGTGGAGAATATTAAATATTTTTTAGCAACAAACCAAAAATTTCCACAAGGCTTCATCACAGGTGGAAGATAACTTTGGTTATTCTTCTCAATAAAATTCTCTACAATAAACTTCTATTATTTTTCAATTAGAAAAATGTTTTAAGTGTTTTTAAAAATGTTTAATCCCAAATGGTCATTATATTTGAGTGACAACTTTGGCCATAGTACATGAAGAAAAATTCCAAAGTCTTAAATAACAAGATATCTGATGAGGAATTTACTAATTTAGACTTCAATTTGACTTCCTATCAGGGACTGATAAGTAAAAGTTCTCTTTTAATTCATATGACTATAAAAATAGTCACAAAGAAAATGATCACTTGAATAGAATTTAAAATGATAGTTTCCCTTTAGAAATATCCCCATTTCATTTCATCAAACCCTATGTCACCTAGCTTAAATTTCTTCAAAATAAATTTACATATGACTAAAAAATGGTCTCTTTAGATGTGAAAATTAATTTTAATCTACTTTTAGACAGTATTTTCCTACAGTGTGTATTATTTAACCTTTACAACCATCATTCCTCAAGTGTTTTCTATATGCTCAGTTCCTTCAATATACTGCCAGGTATTATACTGCCGTATAATAGGACTTAAGAGTTCCAAATGTAGACATTCTACTTCTAAAAAATAATAAAGCTCATGGCTCTAAAGTTCTCTGATCCAAAATTCTGAATGCTTGCCTAGAAAAAAGAAAATGGAAAAAGAAAAAGTGATACTCATTTAATCCATTAACTCTGTTATTTTTTTAAATTAAGAATGAAGGCCTATAACTTTGAAAAATACAGCCTCATACAAAACAAATCTCAATGTAAAAGGTAAATACAGAATTGAAATTTTGCAGAAGGGAAAATATTATGGGCTGGAGATACAGTATAGAGGTAAGGTGCTTGCCTTCTCCGCAGCTAATACTACTTCCATCCCAAGCACTGCAGATAGTTCCCAAAGCACCATCAGGAATGATCCTTGAGCACAGAGGCAGGAGTAAGCACCGAACACTGCCAGGAATATTTTCAAATTCAGGAGCTGAAGAGAAAAAAGCTAGAGAGAAGGAAATTTAAGTTTCAGGAATTTTTTTAACTACAATATAGTGAGCCTTGGAAAGTTTTAATACTCTTTGGTGGAAGCATAGGAGAAGAAATGGCTGAAGATATGGTTTTTGAAAAACAGTTCCAGATATATTTTATACTTCTCCAAGTCTAGAGCACATTCCATCACGACAACAATTTTCTTAAATCCTAAGTAGTTTTTTAAAATGAGTTCTTGAGCCTGACAAGATGGCCAAGTGGTTAAGGTGATGGACTGCTAAAATGAGTTCTTGCTTAGCCTGTTCTTATTTGATGGCCTTGGTTTCCAATATCACATTAAATATTATAAGACTTAATTTATTCAAAGAATTGAATGTTTCAGGCACCCTATTGGACTGAGACAATATTCTGATTTGCTACTATATCAGACCATTATGTATAAAGCACTGTGCTAGCCGTACTACATTCTGTCACAGTCATCACTATTATAGTGGAATTCTTCCTCTGACAAATAAAATAAAAGTAGACATTAGCAATAAGACAATCATAAAGAGAAATTATAGAAAGCACTAAAAAAGAGTCATCTTCATCCAGATTCCCGTGTTGTGGCCAGTAGGGAAAACACACAGCCACCATGGTGAGCTTCCTTCCTTGATCCAATCTGTATCCTGGGACTCTTGCTGACCTCAATTTTTACTAATCCCTTAAGTATACAAGTCAGCATGGATCCAATGTACTTTCCGTTCCTACCTTATTTTGCTATTTTAAGTCCTGGGGGTTAAGATATGCACATTAATACAATGTTTATCTAAGGAGACCATCTAATATTAATTATAGTTCAAAAAGACACTGGATTCTAAATGTTATTGCCAACACCAATGTTCCAAGAAATAACTTTTTAGTATTGAGTTTCTGGCTTAGATCTCAGATTTTTTGCTGTTTGTTTTTAGTATAAAATAGCCTAATCCTTAACTCAGTTTTACCAATTCAGTAAACACTGGTACCTACCGTGAGTTAGCAAACTGCAGAAACAAATAACATGTGAAATCTGACTGAAAGAGGTTATATTTTAGAAGTATAATATCTTTGACAAGTGCTTGAAAAGATATACAAAATAGAGGTGGAACAGAGACAAAATGATTACCTTTTAATAGCATTTTTCTCACCCTTACCATAGAGATTTAAAATCCTTAGGGTATTTCTTTTTGTGGAAAAAAAATCTAATTTTCCTTTACTTGTTGTATAAACAAGAAGCATATGCATGCCTCAACTTATTATTTCTCCAATTATCAGCCTTTAAGACTAATTATCACTATCTTTGTTAAATGGTCCTGAATGTATCATTTCTACTCCTAACCTGAAAATAATCAATATCACACTTATTACAGAGTTAATCTTGTAGCTAAATAATCCTTTACTTGTCCTTTTTCTATATCCATGTTATGAAAATTACACTAAAATAATCATTATTCACAGTGTCCCATGTGTGAATTTTACTACATTCTCAAATGATGACAAACAAGAATAATCTCACAGTGTTTACTGCTGAGTTTACACAGTGTCAAAGAAAGATGACAAATGTTATATAGAAAAAATGAAAGCAAATCAAAACTCATATAGCAATTTAGCATATTTATCATAAACAACCAAGCTACTAGTAACCCATAGTATATAAATATATTTTACCATGGTTTATATCTTTATACACATTAATATTTCCTAAAACTTAAATTCTTGTCTAATTTTCTATAATTTTCAAAATTTTGGAATCTGTAAGTCCTCCAAAATTATTAGTTATAAGCCTTCTTTCTCTAATGGAAAGTTTTACCTGAAAATATAATTTTAAAAAATCCTATAGTAACATTTGTTCAAGTTTTTTATTATTTAATTCAACAAATATGCATTAAGCATATATTATGTTTGGTACAATGATAGGTAATATAAAACTCTGCTCTTTAGAAAATAAATGATTATTTCAAAGCACTGTGGTGTAAGATAAGAAGATGGTCAGAAAATTAAAGGAATGTCAAATAGGGAGACATTATTCAACTAAGGAGTAAGGGGCAAGATAAGACCCACACTAAAGGATGAGTATTGTTAACTAAGCATACCAACACAAAAAAATAGAAAAAAAATATTCCATTATGAACAATGTTCAAACTTGTTAGTAGTAGAAAGACTCTTAATTATTATAAAAATATATCCTATTTTCCTATGCTGCACCTGAAATGAAGAAAACTATCAAAGACTCTAGATGGCAATAGGACAAAAGTTCTCCCCCAAGTCTTTCAAATTCTACAAACCTGTCTGAATTATCTTTTTATTTTTTTTCTTTCTCCCCAAATCCCCAGCCAGGACTCAATGAATGGAGAAAGAACATCCTACCCTTTTTCACAGGTGCACACAGGTGCTAAAGCTCTTCCTCCTGTTCAGTTCTTCCACTCTTCCATTTCAGATTTTCTTTTGCTGTGAACAGTACAGCTCTTCATATTTTCTTTCGTACAGAGTCATCTTGTAAAAACTGTGTCCATACAGGTTTAGGC